ACCCTCCGGCAGCCAGATTTGCCTGAAAATTGCCTCTAAAACCGAGGCCGACCGTCCGGACCTAAAGACAACTCAAGAAGCTATGGATGGATTGTCATGAAACTTGGTAGGTGGGTAGGTCTTGATGAGGCCTACAAATGGTTAGATTTTGGGCTCCCTAGCGGCTTTTGTTGGTACTGCAGCCAGCGTAACAACATATGCAGTGGGCCAACCGCCTGGACAGAAAGACTGGACTCCAGGCTAAAATATAATGACAATAATAATGAACTTTATTGCATATTCACGCCCTGTATGGGCCAAATGCACTGATTATACGTTAGATAACTGAGGTACAAGGGTAGAAGGAACAAGTATGCTACATCTACAGGATCTCTTCTCTCTTTTGGAAACATGTATTAACAAATTTACATTGTTTTTGATATACATCGTAGGTCTTGGATGCCATAATATGTTTGAACAGTCTAACATATCGCGGCCTGCCTCCTCACTTCATTATACCAACACCGCACGACGAGAGGTCAGCTACCATCGCACCCTCCGGCAGTCTGATTTGCCTGAAAATTGCCTCTAAAACCGAGGCCAACCGTCAGGACCCAAAGACAACTCAAGACGCTATGGGTGGATTGTCATGAAACTTGGTAGGTGGGTAGGTGGGTAGACCTAGAAATGATTAGACATTGGGCCCCCTGGCGGCTTTTGTTGGTACTGCAGCCGGCGTAACAAATGATACAGTGGGCCAACCGCCTGGACAGAACGACTGGATACCAGGCAAAAATATAATGACAATGAACTTCATTGCATATTCACGCCCTACATGGGCCAAACGCACTACATACATGTAAGGAAGATAACTGAGGTACAAGGGTAGAAGGAACAAGTGTTGCATTGCTGTGCTATGTCTATATCTACAGGATCTCTTCTCTCTTTTTGAAACATGTATGACCAAATTTGCATAGTTTTTGATTTATACATTTTTTACATCGTAGGTCTTGGATGCCAGAATATGTCTGAACAATCTAACATATCGCTGCCCGCCTCCTCACTTCATTATACCAACCCCGCACGACGAGAGGTCAAAACTATCGCACCCTCCGGCAGCCAGATTTGCCTGAAAATTGCCTCTAAAACCGAGGCCAACCGCCCGGATAGAAAGTTTATCTTATCTTGATGAGGTCAGGTCGCGCTGGCAGTTCAGCCGAGAAATTTGATGATATCCCTGAAATACGACCTTGATCGATCTGTAAAGGCGACGGGACAAAAATTATTGATCGTCGTTGAGTAGCAGACGTTGATATAGTAGTATCTGACGGGCGAAACTGGGGGGAAAGTTTCACGTATTAAGCTTCAGGATATGTCATGTATAATATGACGGCGCGCCAAATAAAAAAAGTACGTATTTTCTCACTGTGTTTTGATTATAATTAGTTGAAAGAATTACACAAGTCCGAAACATGAAAAAAAAAAGAATATTTCACAGTGAACTCATGTGTAAAACTGGGTCATACATGTATGATATGATGCGTTTTATAATGGAAACGTTTTTATGGGAATATTTATCGATTATTATGGGCATTGCGTTGATTTGTATGTTTTCACACATTGCTGTAAATTACGTCCTGGAAATGGTGAATGTAGGACAATCTGGAATGATCTTAGCGCCATTTTCAGGATACAAGTTGAAATTGATTCAAATTTCTCTATTTGTTTTGTAGAATTTATCTAATGATAGTTAGTTTTATTTTGTATCTCAATTTGAACTGTACGTTCATCATGTTTTGCTGTGACCTGTACTTATTCTAGTGTGGCAAAAATGTGCAATAAAGGTCGTCATTCCCAAAATTATCTTCCATATCATAGTTGTCTTTCATTTTTCGCATCATGGTGGTTTGATAAGGAAAACTGTAAATCATAAATTTTCCCGGTACTTTTATATTCGCGGTTTTCGCGGTCACTTGTGTAACACGAATTTATTAGTACCTCAAACAAATAATTCGCCGATTTTCTTTTTGATCCAACTGCCGCCACGAATGTATATATAGTTCCTCGAACATGTACATTTTTCTCAGACAGCGAAATTTTGCTGCCACGAATATAAAGTGATTCACAGTATGAGACCAGCGCAGCCGGTGATTAATGAGAATAAAGACAAGTGATGTATTAACAGTAAACCCGGAGGCTATGTAACCTGAGCCGGTGCCGCCATCACCCCAGGGCGGGGCTCACACTGTTCTATACTCCTGTCAATCACCTGTCGGCATCTCTGATGTCATTCTATGGATGGCATCTATGTGTAACGTCCTTTAGGTACCTCAAATTTGATGCGGCATAAAAATAAGTGGAAAACATCTGAGTGTACCGTCACCACGTCTTGTGATTACATGCTGGAAAAAACAACAAATCTGATGCGATCTTGCTGCAAAAAACGCTGAAACTGAAAATATCCAAGGCCCAACACTAGATATATCCAACTAGCTACAGCCCCAGTACTGTGGGGCTGCCCCACAGTATTTGCATTACAGTAGCACTTCGTGAGAATTGGTACAATCTGAAAGTATATCGCCTTTAACCCCTGAAGCTCCATTCAATTTGTTAGCCTGACTCTATTTGCTCCTATTGAAATTGATGTCAGACAGCCTTTGCCAGATTTTGCTGGTGAGAAGAATGAGCGATTGTCGCACTAAGCGGCTGTCACCTGCGCTGCACCATAATAAAGCTGTAAGTATCCCCCGGGTGATGGTTATTGGACGGGAGGTATCGAATAGAGCGGATCGCTTCACAGATTTATCACTGGGAGGTTTCGTGATGCGAAATTCAAGGGCGCCGCTCGCTACTCTCCAAGCAGATGTTTGGGTATGGGCTTATTTCTGGCGTGTTTTATCGGTCTTTCTTTTTTGCACTGGTATCTTTTTTACGCCAACCCAACGCGAGTACCTCGTATTCCCTTTCGTTCTGAGATAGTGCTACCGCTGGATGCAATAAATGAGGCATATCATATGTATGAGGCATATGATACATATTCATTTACCAGTTTATTTTATACGCAAGGTAAATGCTGATATCGCTGTTACAACCTTTCTATCATCGTGTGTGTATTTGTAACGCCGTAACCGTTATTCAATAACTCTATGGAGCCGTATTAGTATGTATGGAGTAGTAAGAAAAACTGAACACACTTAGTCTACAACAAAGACCGTGGTTGCTTTGTAGGATGTCCGTCACACACATCGAGAGGACAATCTTGCGACAGGCCTGTAACATTCAGCTGTATTGCTAAAGAAAAAGACTGTCTTAGATACTAGTCGGCAGTTGGAACTTCTGTCACAGCGGCATCAAAACCACTGCGAATGTGTCGTAATATTTACAACAATGAACATCAGTGGTATGATTTGCAGCAAAACATATGTATAAAATCGGCCAACCTCAGCCTATCATTACATCATTGTGTACTAGTATGCAAGAAATCATGACCAGGGCACTATGCACTGGATAGATATAAAAGACAGAACTTCGTGAACTTGTGTCACACTTGAAGAAGCCAAACAGGCTGAATAAAAGTTCTAAACGTGAACTATGCCGCTGCGGCTCCAGATCATGTCTTACTGAGGGACGACTGCGTTTGCGAAATGTCGGTTAGCTTGAGGAATGGATCCACTCTACTACATAAATGCAAGAAATCATATCACATATACGAACAGATAGAATTGAATCGATATCTCTCCGAAGCTTTGTGCCTTTGACACTGGCAAGAATAACATGAACCTCCACAATTAATCCATGGTTAATTCATCGCTATCAAAACGCACTGATTTCAAACTCCCGATCCAGTCATTGTTTCACAGTTCACACAGTGTACCTCCCAATGCTGTTGTGTTATGGTAAAGTCCCACCATGTAGCCTGCTGTCGTCTGGCCGAATCAACATCTCGTCATGCGCTCCCTGAAGAAACAACAACAAAAAACAAAAAACAAAAAAAAGACAGAAAATTAGAAAGGTAATATTTGCAAAGAAAATACATAATGTTTATAGTCTAGCCTAACAAACTACTGCTCTGCTTATTCTTACTTAGACACATTAGTGTATATATATGGTGACCAGCCCCTCCAACTCTGCCCTGCAACTTGCTACATAATGTAACACAACACCACAGGCTGTCTGCTATAGGACCAGTTACCATGGTCAACTAACTGAAGAGAAAACGAAAATAGAATGATTACGATGGCTGACAGGCCCCAGTGTTGCGTCATTGTGAAATGTACCTTACACCTATTAATTTATTTCCTCATTAGACTCAGGCAAAAATGAGTACGTATACATGTCAATATCAATCAATCAATCAATCAATCAATCAATCGATCAACCAATCAATCAATCAATCAATCAATCAATCAATCACTTTCTGTAGTATATAAATATACGCACATTTATTGCATCATCGTTGGAAATATCGCTGCCGCGCGTTTCAACACTGGACAAGGACCCCGAGGACTCGGTCTCCTCTGCCTGATGATGCCCGTTGAGGAGGGTTCCGGGGTCTTGTCCCGCCTCAGAGTAGATGGTGTTGTTGTGTACTGCGCTTGCGTGCTGCATCAGTGGCCAGGGTCCGTCAAACGCCTGTTGGCAAAACCTGCACACCCAGTCAAACGGCGTGTCTGGAAAAAGTCGTAAACAAAATCATGAAAATACGTCTATATCTATATCTATATCTATATCCGTATTTTAAAAAAAAAACTGACCCTGCAGTTCCTGAACAAGCTGCTAGGAGGATTCTTTCCTCCTACAATTTACAAGTCTGCAAATCCAGTCAAATGGTTGCAAACAATATCATAAGATCCGTCATTGCTTCAGTTATCCAAAGTTGTATAGCAAAACGCCCCTGCAGTTCCGGAACAAGCTGCTAGGAGGGCTTTTTACCTTTAAAACTTAATTCCATGTTACTAAACAACAGACTTATCGAATGTACTGAAATGTAAACCAGTTTCATGTGTTGACCTCACCTTTTTCTGTGTTGACGTCAGCCTTGCCGCAGGGGCAGCTGGGATGCGGCCGGCACCCCACCAACTTGTGATGACGTAGCCGCTCTAGGGTGGAGAACATGTCCTTACAGCGGCCACAGATCAAGATATCTGCATCACGGAAAAAACATAGAAATTAGACATAGCAGACTTCAAATTCATCCCCTTTATGTAGGTTACAAAACGCTCAAACCAATCAAAGTCAGAAAATCTGGGTATACCTTTTGGCAGAACATTCTGAACGTAGTACCTAGGCAAAACCTGTAATATATGGTGCATAACACTTCGGCAGAATGCCTCTTTTAAGGTCGTATTCGCGTATATAAGGTTAACATCTCATCTGTAGTTTCTAAATGCACTAAATGTTGTGTCGGGAAAGATATCCTATGCAACTGGCAAAATTTTGATGCAACGTTTACCGACTATCCAACGAAAACTATTAAAAACCTTAATTTTGCGCAGGGGCAGTACGTTCTGTCGACGTCATTGGCCTTACCTGACGTCATCGCCGGCCGGTTTACTGTGTTGTGTTTTCTGCTCATCCCATTGGTCAGTTGGCGGCCACGTGACTTCTTCAGCAGCCGGAAGCCCGGGAGTAGAGGGGGAGGGGCAGGCTGCCCATTGGTCAGGAATGTCTGTCTCATCAACCTATAGTAAGTACGGAGGAAAGTATTAGTGCTAGAGCAAGCCAATGAGGTTAATTATATCCAAAAACGTCGATTTGCCCCAGGCACTGTTCTGGATACGCGTGGACTATCCAGAACGGTACCCGAGCATGGTTCTGGATACAGCATGAAGCTGACCATTGGCCAGGAATGTCTGTATCATCAGCCTAGGTACGGAAGGAAAAATCAGTCTTGGAGCTTGCCAATAAAGTCAAAGGCATCCAGTGCAGTTTTTAAGGCTTGGAAACCCGATTTTTCAAAGTCAATATTCTAGTCATTTATCTATATACTGAGTTGAGACCACTTTATTCCAATGTACTAGTATATTGACCCTAATGGAGCAAAATACCCACAATTCTGACAGAAGATAGTTACTGGAAGGGCCCTGGGCTGATTTTTAGGGTACCACCCATAAAATACAGGACTCATCTTGAGGCTTGTTTCTGTCGTTTTAAATACCCAAATTATGAAATACTGATTGAAATGTTCTCTCTCTCTCAGAATCTACACCGACCTGTTGGGGGGTTCCCGTAAGTGACAGAATTCTCGGAGCAGCAGAGGAGATAGGACAGTGATGGCATGGTCCTCCATAGTCGTCCTGATGAGAACAAGAAACGAGACCTTTATGTTTTGGTTTTCGTGAATATAATAACGGAACTCTAGGGAGAGCTGTATGTATTACAAAGTCAACCAGAAGTTCTTTATTGCAAGTTCATGTCCGACGGCTAATTGCATACTGGCATTCACAAGGACAATGGGTACAGAAGGTATTGAGAAATGGCACCGGTATAAAACCATATGCTAACAGGTTCTACGTTCTACTAACCTAACAGATACATGAGAATGTACGGAAACCATTATGCATATATGTATATATATTTAATATATGTATGAGCGTTAAAATGCTTTTTTTACCTGCCGTTAATAGGTGTAGTTGCTCTTTTTGTTGCTCTGGGTCGGTCGGGTTTGGGTTCGGATACCAGGTTACAGTCTGTGGAATAGAAAAGAGACATTTAGTGCGATTTCCATTTGTAACGGCACAATACGAGTGACCGGGTTAGCAGTAGGAAGTCCTGTAATGGGCCACACTAGCCCTGGAGGCCATCACGTATTTCCATGTAGGAGTACTTGTATGAGGAAGTAAAAGTGTCTAATCGATGCCGCCAGTCTTTAAAGTGCCTCTGAAAGCAGGACCGGGCCTTAGGCCACACTGTCTTAATTTTATGGATGACATCCTCTGAAGACCCCCAAACTACTGCGCGCGGGCTGATAAAAAAAATCCGGCCAAAAATAAAAATGCTACTTAACCACGGGAATACAAAGCTGGTAATGTGAATTTGCGGCAGTACATAGCGACGTATACGACAGGCCGGCACATGCTGGCTTTTTGCGGAATTTATGAATCGGCACCGTACATATATATGAATTCATGAGTCGTGGAGCTTCGGTAACCTGATGCCATCATCCAGTGTTACCACCGGCTCCGTATTGTCGCTAACTACCATGGACTACCCAGGCATAGAGCCATACCATAGCCCCTGATAAACGTGATCTGTTTTTGTTTTCTTTTGAGAACAGGCTAAAATCAATGCGCGCGCGGATGTCATCCATAAAATTAAGTCGGTGTGGCCTTAGTTCAAATAACCGTTAAACCCAGAGCACGTTTATACGAGCGTCTTGACAGTCGTTTGCTTGTCCTCCGGCGGCCTGAGTGCTGTCGTGAGCCGTTTGCAGAGAGATCGGGGAGAGATAAAACCATGCTAATCTGATCGGCTACGGTGACTTTCCGCCACCGCTGGGCCCGTTTTTGGTTGTAAAAATGTATCCTTTGACACGAGAATGGCCCATGTTATAGTCATGCCTTCAAGTACCAGAGTTATCAACCAAGGATTGAGGTGTTCAAAAACTGTGCCCATGTAATAGTCATGCCTTTAAGCACCAGAGTTATGTCTAACTACGATACTCTTTCTCAAATGCTGAGTGCTAAACTAAGCTAAGCTTTTTATGTCCCTTACAGGGGCATAAAAAGAAGAACGACAATGCCTACCGACCCTAATTTTTTTTCAGGATGAAACAGGAAACACAACATATTTTCCTAGGCCTAACGTAAAACACTGGAACTGCTGGAGATATACAGAAAAGATAAAATTCAACGTCCTTACTATCGCCTTAGCCATGTACTTGTTCCTACGGCCTCTGCGATATGGTTAACTGTCTGTAGCGGCCGATACGACGTCGCCCCGCACTTGTACAACACGACATGTATAATGGAAACATGGATGCCAATCTCAGATGTGGCTTTTATGAACCGCGCTACAGCTTTGGGAGCTTTACTCAGTCCGCCCTGTAAGTAGCGTTAGATTTAACGATGGTAGTAAAAACCAGTACCGTCGGGTAATGTTTAGTTTGTAAACAGTATCGGACTTGACAATGGTATCTGTATCTGCACAGCCGGTATAAAAACCGCCCTCTGGTATAACACCAGCTTCTCAGGCACGCGGCGCGGCGGCAGCTGGCTACATTGCATGTACATACACCTAACCTTTGAGATCTAACTCTAAACATTGTTTAAGGCTATCTAATGACAATGCCCCTACTGTACTTGGTGACAGCGAGTTCCACTCTGCGATAGTTCTAGGAAAGAATGCATTTTTAAACACCTTAATCCTTGGTTGATAACTCTGGTAGTAGATAAAAGTGAAATAAATAAAAGTCAAGTCCGGTAATGTAAGTGTGGTATATAATCTTTACCATTGTAAAATGTATCGTGTCGAAAGTTATCCGTGTTGAGAATAGACTAGTCTCCACCAGACTCCTTTGCAGGCTGAATAAATAGTAGAAATCGGCCTTAAAAGAATGTAGCTGCCCATAGAGGGTCCAATTTGTTTACAATGCTATCTTTGTAGGCCGATTTCTACTATTTATTCAGCCTGCAAAAGAGTCTGGTGGAGACTAGGAATAGACAGCAATGATACGATCACGAGTGAGATAGAACCGTCCCTGTTGTAGCTTGACTTTGACCTCCACGGTCTAGCCTACGAGTAGCGCTGTGGTTGTGTCAGGATTAGATCCGACAGCGTGTTCCTCCGAGGCTTAACTCTGCTTATTGTAGCATGCAGCGTCTCTGTGTAAGTTTTACCATTGTAAAATGTATGATGTCGAAAGTTATCCGTGATGTGAGTAGACATTAGCCTGGGTGCCATCTGATTTGTAACTGAAACCCTGAATGGCACCCAGGCTAAGTAGACATGTAGTAATGCTAGAAAATCCTCAAAATGCAGCAAATGGCTTCACCCCATCCACCATACCAAAAATGGACCTATCCCCCTCCCGCACAAATAGATTGTTCCTAAATCACCCCTGTCGGAAAATGTGAAGTGTTCCAATAGTCTACATCCCCATGCAGCAATGGAATCTTCCAACGTCTTCTGCTGTTGGAACATGTAGAATCAGTGTTATGTTTATAGAATAAATATTATCATGAAGGAGATAGAACCATCCATGTTGCAGCTTGACTTTGGTCCCGGTTGTGGTGGCATTAGATCTGACAGCGTGTCCCTGCGAGGCTTAACTCTGCTTATTGTAGCAGCGTCCCGCGCCGCGTTACAAATGAAAACTGATGGGCGCGTTGTCGGGGTGCCGCTAACATTGTAAGGCCTTAGCAAGTAAATTTTATGGATGGCATCCACCACAGACTCTAAATCTAATGCGATAGGGCAAAAACAAAACAAAGCAAGCCAAAGAAAACAAGATTCCTACATTTTCCAATTTTGACACCATAAACCTTGTTAAACAAGAAATTATACCTATATTGTTCTGCGTTTACTGCCGACTGTTATAACACCGATTGTTATTGAAAAATAAAAGTTTTCAATCATTTGATAGATGGTTTTGATTCAGTAGGAAAATCACATATAAAATGAATGAAATACATGACCGCATCAAAGTAAAAGACAAAACATTAAATCAGAGCCTTTTCTTGTCTCCTCTCTTCATATTTGTCTGCCATCCACGTTCCGGCATGGCAACAGACATCTTTGCCAATTTTTGGCTTAACTCTGCTTATTGTATCAGCGTCCCGCTCGGCGTTACAAATAAAGATTGATGGTAGCAGTGAGGGGGTGCCGCTAACCTTGTAACGTGTAAAACTACAAGCAAGAACCCGGTTAGCTCCATGTCAGTCATTGCAGCAGGATGACATTTGCGCGTCCTCAACCCCGTGTAGACCGTGAAAGACACATTTTCGTGTGTTTCCGAAGACTGGAGGGATATCCGATCCGCGGGAGGGCTGGGACCGAGGGTTATGCGGAATACACCGTGTTGTATTTTATTTATGTCATACCCACCCACGAAAACACGCCTTTCAATGGAAAGAACTGTTTGTCGCTCCAAAAAAAGATAACATTCGGGAGCGGCAAACTGTTCTCTCCAGCAAACAAACTCCCCAGGCATGTTATATCTCTATTTGGCCGATTTCTACCCTTTTCAGCCGCCTCCCGAAGCCTGGTAGAGACTAGTTTCTAGCGCAGATGTTGGTTCCGAGCTGAACGATCTGTCGTTACGCCACACGAGTCTCTTCTGATATTTTCTGAGTGCAGGGTCTGTCAGATATCACACATTCGCGACTTTGAAGCCTTGTTCTTGAAAGCTTCGCAATCCATGGCCTCATTTTTAGAGGAATATCATCTCCTAAATCGCCCGGGGTCTGGAGCCATGTGACGACATTTGTCTGACATTTTCTAAGTACAAGGTCTGTCAGATATTGCACCTTTGCGACCTTGTAAGCCAACTTCTTGAAAGCTTCGCAACCCATAACCTCATTTTAGAGGGATATCATCTCCTAAATCGCCCGGGGTCTGGCCGCGTGGCAGTATTCACACGCGTGCGCGTCCGCTGACTCGTCAGATGTGCGTCAGGCGTAAAATTTGAAGACTGGTTCGTTTGACAGGGGACCATGACCCTGGGCAAATTGGAACACGTTTCACAAACTGATGTGGTATATTCAGATGTCATATTTGACATAGAAAATCTATGTTAAATGTTTACATTAAGATAGTGACGAAGAAAGAACGCTTAAGCTTGATCAAAAAGAAGTATTATCATACACATAGTTTTGTAGATTGTTAAGTCACCGTATATGTTGCCGTAATGTTTTGTCATGTCTTGTCAGCAGGACAAGCCCTTTGTAATAGCCACAGGCTAGTTGGGCTGCCCTGGCTGTGAGGGTTGAACAGCCAAACCAATGAATAAATAAAGAAATATTACCCCTAGAATTTAAATAGCAACAGGATACCTTTGCTGTAACACTTACTAGACTTTGCATGTCACTGTCCTTGGTGCTGAAATCCTGGTTATCGTGTTCGTGTGTTCGGCTCTTGGTTGCTCTTCATGTTGTGATTATGACATTGCATTCTTATCTTTTCAAAAACGTTTCATGAAAAAAATGAAAAAATAAGGCCTTAATTCTAGTCAACATTCCAAGAAAAAATATATGTACTGAGTCGCTTTAAAATATGCTTGATCGTTTTCTTTATATATGTTCCAAAAACAGACACAAGACGCCGATATTGTGGCGACCCTTGTATCTGCTTGGAGATTGGAAAGGCTGCTCAAGTTTCATGAAAAAAAAATCCTTTCTTCTAGTCAACATTTCAACAACTCCAAAATATATTGAGTCACTAAAATATGAAATCGCCTGATTGTCATCTTTGTACATGTTCCAAGAAAACCCTCACATCTGCTTGGAAATTTGGAAGGCTGACCTGTGACCCTGTCCTTCCAGGCGTGAATGCCGGGAAATGTCACAATAAAGGTCACACTGTAGAGTGTTCTATCACGGGTCATTTCCGGCATGAAGGTCACTCTGCCACGCGTCATTTCCGGTGAGCCGAAACTTCAGCACGAATACGAAAACTGCCATAGAATCTCGCCCAAGCTTTAGTTGATGTGCGCTAAAAACAGTTACTCAAGCAACTGGATATGATTTTGGAA